ACCGTAACAATGGATTAGCTTTAATCTCTATTGAAAATGACATTTTGAAAGAAGTTGATATCAAAAGTTTGGTGGATGATTTTGCATCTAAGTGTGCACGACGCATGTAACCTTTTAAATAAAATTTTAGATGTATTTTTTTATACAATATTTATATTTTAAATTTTTAACACAACTTTTTGAACAATTATTATTTATATGTAAAAATTAGTTGAAAAAGGGGGCCCAAATCAAAATATTGCACAGGACCCCAATTTTTATTGGAACGGCCCTGTATATTACTATATAGTATATATAGACTATACAGTACTGTGTAGTGTATATAATAGTAATAATAATAATAATAATAATAATAATAATAATAATAATAATAATAATAATAATAATAATAAATAATAATAATAATAATAAAATAATAATAATAATAATAAAATAATAATAATAATATAATAATAATAATAATAATAATAATAATAATAATAATAATAATAATAATAATAATAATAATAATAATAATAATAATAATAATAATAATAATAATAATAATAATAATAATAATAATAATAATAATAATAATAATAATAATAATAATAATAATAATAATAATAATAATAATAATAATAATAATAATAATAAATAATAATAATAATAATAATAATAATAATAATAATAATAATAATAATAATAATAATAATAATAATAATAATAATAATAATAATAATAATAATAATAATAATAATAATAATAATAATAATAATAATAATAATAATAATAATAATAATAATAATAAATAATAATAATAATAATAATAATAATAATAATAATAATAATAATAATAATAATAATAATAATAATAATAATAATAATAATAATAATAATAATAATAATAATAATAATAATAAATAATAATAATAATAATAATAATAATAATAATAATAATAATAATAATAATAATAATAATAATAATAATAATAATAATAATAATAATAATAATAATATAATAATAATAATTAATAATAATAAATAATAATAATAATATAATAATAATAATAATAATAATTAATAATAATAATAATAATAATAATAATAATAATAATAATAATAATAATAATAATAATAAATAATAATAATAATAATAATAATAATAATAATAATAATAATAATAATAATAATAATAATAATAATAATAATAATAATAATAATAATAATAATAATAATAATAATAATAATAATAATAATAATAATAATAATAATAATAATAATAATAATAATAATAATAATAATAATAATAATAATAATAATAATAATAATAATAATAATAATAATAATAATAATAATAATAATAATAATAATAATAATAATAAATAATAATAATAATAATAATAATAATAATAATAATAATAATAATAATAATAATAATAATAATAATAATAATAATAATAATAATAATAATAATAATAATAATAATAATAATAATAATAATAATAATAATAATAATAATAATAATAATAATAATAATAATAATAATAATAATAATAATAATAATAATAATAATAATAATAATAATAATAATAATAATAATAATAATAATAATAATAATAATAATAATAATAATAATAATAATAATAATAATAATAATAATAATAATAATAATAATAATAATAATAATAAATAATAATAATAATAATAATAATAATAATAATAATAATAATAATAATAATAATAATAATAATAATAATAATAATAATAATAATAATAATAATAATAATAATAATAATAATAATAATAATAATAATAATAATAATAATAATAATAATAATAATAATAATAATAATAATAATAATAATAATAATAATAATAAGTCTCACCCAACGCCCTAATATACTGCAGTACTCCACGCCTAAAATGCAAAGTTATATTGCAAATCAAATTCATTACAAAATAATAATAATAATAATAATAATAATAATAATAATAATAATAATAATAATAATAATAATAATAAGTGAAATGCCATTTTTACCCTCATATTTAACATCCTTAACATTTATTTAACGAAGATGGGAAAATAGCCACTTCAAAAACAATTTAGAGGGATAAAGTGGTTACATAAACAACACAGGGAGAAAATGTGCTATTAGTAAACAACACATGGGAAAAAGCGTCATTTTCCCTATATATATATATATATATATATATATATATATATATATATATATAATCTCCCCTAGTGCCATGCTCTTATTACCTTAGAGCTTTGTAGAATTTTGATTCCTTAATATTTTCATCATGCTTATGAGCTAATATAATATAATTGTGATCAATCTGCTTTCTCTTATAGACCATACATCTTCAAATTTTTTCATCCAATCCTATCCCCTACCCTATTTCCCTCCCGTTAAATGTATGAACTATATATATATATAAAAGCAGAATTTTGATTCCTTAATATTTTCATCATGCTTATGAGCTAATATAATATAATTGTGATCAATCTGCTTTCTCTTCTAGACCATACATCTTCAAATTTTTTCATCCAATCCTATCCCCTACCCTATTTCCCTCCCGTTGAATGTATGTACTACATATGTTCTGAAATTCATAGGTATTGTGAACTGGATACTTTGTTGCAGAAAATATATATGTGCTCCCAGTTGCATAATTTAGATTTTCACAAAAACAATTTTTCAGATCAAGCATTTTTCACTACTTCAAAAATTATGGTAATATATTTGTGTAACAGTTAGCACAATATGCTAGACTCAGACCTCAAAAATAACAACATGTGACATGCTCTGATAACATTAATTGTTAGATCATGCGCTTATCACTAAACTGAAAAAACATTTTATTTCCTTATAGCAATTAGTGCCTGACTCGATGCCAAAGCCAACACAATTCTAGGATGCATGCATATAGATTGCCACACATGCATTTTGTTGGCTGAAACATGGAATCAGCAAGTTGTTTGCACCTAAATGAAGCAGGTGCAGAGCTTTGGCATGAATTTTCAAAAGAAAAATCATGAATTATTTAGATTGTCACTGTACTCCTCAAAAAAAAAAAAAAAAAAAAAAAACATTTTTTTTAATTAAAAGTGAAACCTTAATCTTCTTGGGAGTTTTTTTTTCAAAATGGTCCCTCAACTATTGCTCATTCTCGATTTTGCATTCCGACTTTCAATTGCACCAAATTTGGTCCCTCGACTTTTAAAAACTTACCCAATTTGATCCTCCGTTAAGTTTTTCGTCAACTCAGTGTTAAAGTGGAGGGTATTTTCGTCCTTTTACCTATTGTACACCTAATATACACTGAGAAATAGTCAAGGGACCATTTTGGAAATAGTCAAGGGACCATTCTGGGAAAAACTCTTTTTTTTTTTAAATTTCATTGTGTATATTTTTATTTTTAGACTCTATCAAATTAGAATTGTTGTAGATTTTTTCACAAATATAAATAGTTAAAATCTCACAATCCAACCTCAATTTTTTTTAACTTTCTCTATAGACTTTTTCCCTCTGTCTAAACGTACAAATTTTTCCTCTATTCTTATCAAGTTTTACAATAAGTTCTGTAAATTTCATATATACTCATATTCGTTTTATTTTTATCTTTATATATATATATATATATATATATATATATATATATATATATATATATATATATATATATATATATATATATATTCCAACATTTTGTCATTGACCGAGAAGTGAAGTGTACTTTTTAGTTCCGAAAAGTGCCAGAAGCACCTCTCTGACTGAGAAGTGCGCCATCGTCCTTGTGATCAAAAAGTAAACTTACATTCCGATCACAGACGAAAAAAACTTACCTTGGAATTCAAATTACATTGTTTGGTAGGGAGAAAAAGAATTATTGGCAATGAGACCGGAAGGTAAGTTTTTCTCGTCTGTGACCGAAAGGTATGTTTACTTTTTGGTCACAAGGCCGATGACGCACTTCTCAGTCAGAGAGGTGCTTCTGGCACTTCTCGGAACTAAAAAATACACTTCACTTCTCAGTCAATAATGACAAAATGTTAGAATTTTTTTTGGAAAGTTGGCTTAATTTAGCGTGCAAGGCCATTATATTAGTTCCATTCCATTAATAAACGTAAATTTGAAAGCGAAACTTTATTACCAAGGTATGTACAAAAAATAAAAATGTTATTTTTAACAATAAAAATAATATTTAATGTGATACATAATGATTGATTATCTATTGAACTTTTAGTATGATTACACACACACACATATGTGTGTGTGTGTGTGAGTGAAGATACAAATAAAACGTATATGCGTATTTATGAAATTTGGGAAACTTATTGTAAAACTTGGTAAGAATAGAGGAAAAATTTGTATGTTTAGACAGAGGAAAAAAGTCTAGAGAAAGTTTAAAAATTTTGAGGTTGGATTGTGGAATATTAACTATTTATATTTGTGAAAAAAATCCAAAACAATTTTAATTTGATAGAGTCTAAAAAATGAAAATATACACAATGAAATAAAATAAAATAAAAAGGAGTTTTTCTCAAAATGGTCCTTTGACTATTTCCAAAATAGTCCCTCGACTATTTTTCAGTGTATATTAAGTGTACAATAGGTAAAAGGACGAAAACGCCCTCCATTTTAACATTGAGTTGACGGAAAACTTAACGGATGACCAAATTGAGTGAGTTTTTGAAAGTTGAGGCACCAAATTTAGTGCAATTGAAAATCGAAATGCAAAATTGAGAATAAACAATAGTCGATGGACCATTTTGGAAAAAAACTCTCTTCTTGGAATATGTTTTCACATACTATACCATGCAATATAAGGTTACTCTGTCTAGGAAATTTTATCCGTTGATTGTGATCATCTGTAGCAGACGAATCTAGAAGGACTGAAATGACAGGATCCTTAGTCGATTCTGCTCCCACTTAACGTTCACGACATAACTGAGGTTTGACTATGAAATAACTCATCACCATCGATCTTCACATTCATCACTTCTCACAGACCATAAACGCACATTTATTTGTCATTTCATATTTTGAGCCATTACAATACACTCAAACTTCAACCACACTCCACTCCTCCAAATACTTAACATCACAACCAATTACTACTCCATACTTGTGTACCACAAATTAAAGAAACTGAAACTGCTTTCTTATTTCTTCAGACTTCATCGACTACATACCCACTACACACTACTAGCTAAATATATATGTATATAGTTACTGAAATAATTAATAGAGATTAATATAATTCTGGATGCATAAGGCGTGGAAAGAACTAAGGAGTCGTGCATGATATGTTTGATTTCTCCCTTCTTGCAGCTTTCCTCTGTCTAGAGCTCCAAAACCAGATCTGCTTGGCAGCAACAAGAAAATTAAAGAAGATGAATATCATAGGCTGGTGAACTAGATTATAGTGGGAGGCAACAATCTCAGCCAAACTGGTTAGGCTGTTAACCTTGTAACCACATGGCTATAAGTTCGAGAGCCTATTGGCTTTATTAGTTTGAGCCGCTGCTTTGTTAACTAGGATCACTAGGTGAGTTTACACTCTGGAATAGTGATTATGGATTTTTCTGGTCATTCAATTCCAACAAGATTACAGTGGGTTAAATAAGCATACAGTGTCCCTTACAGTGGGTTATTCAAACCCCTTCTCGTTTGGAAAAATCAACCTGGCTAGTACTTTGCCCTTTAATTGGGCTGATCCAGTGCAAACAGAATTAATCTGAGTATGGTACGAGTTTAAAGGTGTCTCCTACTGTTAGGGCATGCTCAGACACCTCCTGATCTTAACCAAAAATAATAATAATAAGCATGCAGTTTTACTTACAGTCGGCGTCTGTTTTAATCCAGTGGCCGTTATTCTCCATGAATGCACCACCCCTGCCACTGCCACTGCAACTCTGAGAGGTTGTCATTATTAACTCCTCCTCCTCTGGGGAGATCATTTGACGAAACCAAATGTTTCCTGTAGTGTCTGATGAGCTGCGGAGACGACTGCCCTTAACTCTGTTCTCATCCTTTTCTGCTCCCTTCTCGCCAATATACCTTTCAGGGTGAACTTTTTTCTTCAACATCTTTAGAACCTGCCATGCGATGCGTTTGTTTATCATATATATTAACAGTACAGTAAAGTTTTGAAAATTTTATAGATGTGTTGTGTCTACATATACATAATACATACCAACCTTTGGGAATTTGTTTTTGGTTGGAGGTGCAGATTCATTTGGTGCATGCATATGGGTCTTTGATTTGGAATTGGAGTTGAGGCTTTTGAGCATCTTCTTCATGAAGTTTTTGGCAAATTGTGCCTTACCAGCTCGTTTCTTGTCGTTTCCTTTGACAACTACTACCTCCTGCAGATCTTCAGATAATGATGCTTCTTCTTCGTTCTTTACTGCCATATCTGACTCTGAAAGTCCAAAAAAATATTTCTGGAGAGGGCAGTCGAGAAGAAGAGTGGGAGAAGAAGAAGAATCTTGTTGGGTTTTGTCGGTGAGGGTAATAATGCTTGCGTAACTGCTCCTCTTTGATGACTGTGCATCCTCCTCGGCTTCAAGGAATTTCTCCAGCTCTATAGTAATAAGCTTCAAATCTTGGTCTGTTATCTGGGTTGTTGTTTCCTCAAACGACGTGGGGAATGTCGGAGTTGGTGGCTCGTCTGTACTATTGAATAATGCTGCAGCTTCTTCAGAACCACCGCCAAGTGTTCCGATTGACAGAAACCCATGGAACACCTCGTTCAATGGCTTTTCTTCTGTTTCCTTAATCACTTTCTGATACGTGCAGGTGGTGTTGGGATTTCCCGAGAAGCCGTACGTTGGGTGACTTGGGTCGAATGATGTTCTATTCTTCACTGCCTCGTTGCAGTTGTGTTTTAGTTTCCGGTGCATCCAACCTAGTAACTGCAACAATAATAATAATTATTATAACTAACAACGTGAGTTAGTTATTATTATTATTAAGGTTATTTCTTTGGTATATATAGTATGCAGCTAGGTGAAATTAATTGTTGATCGTTTGGGCTTACCTTCATCTTCATCAAGCTATCTGCGCTTAGCTTGTATGATTATTCAAGGTGCGTTGTCGGTTACGTTGTCCAAATGTATAGATGGCACTTGCAAAGCGTAATTTATATATGGAGCTGAGAGAGGTTGTATGTGTTGGAGTTTTGAACACACTATGTGGAAAGGAGAGGGTAGGTATGTAGGGCCTATTATACAAGCAAATTTAAGCTATAGGAAATAGAAGAATTAAGAATATAATTTTTCAGATATTACATTCTTCTTTTTTTGTCACGACCTAATTTGAAGGGATGAGCGTGTGCGGTTACTCACGCCAACTAAGCTGGTTTCCATATATTATATTCGAGTACGTTAAAAGTTTACTTAGTAAAGAAATATTAACTTTTATTTCTTTTATACTTGTGTATGTAGCATTCAATAAATGATAAACTTGATTTTTAGGGTGCCAATGTGGGTCAATCCAACCAAGTGGTTTGTAGTCCACTAGTATTGGGTTGCTCCCCTAAGTGGGAGGTGTAAGGTTCGAACCTTAATTGAGGCAAATAATATATATATGTAGGGTATCCCCTTCCTTATAAAAAAAAAAATGTGGGTCGATCCACCTCACCATAGGCTTTTTTCCTTGGAACTTTGCAGGTCGGTCCGCGAAGCCCGCAAACTAGGATTATGCAACTCTAACACGCCTCATGTGAGTTTGCGGGCCTCGCGGACCAAGCCCGTGAGACTCGCATTTTCGCGGAGCAAAAATTTTAAGTCCTAACACGCCCCATCGTGACGATTTAGGATTGACCCGCGGGTTTCGGCTCACCTTGACACTACTACTTGATCCTTCGGGACAGCATACATGATACATTGGCTTTTAATTTAATATCAAGGGTATAGAAGCTATATATCAACAAACAATAAGTTTAGACTTCTCTTGATTTTGTGTGAGCTTTTCTTGGGCATGAGGCATACTCGCTTCGACTTTGTACATATTGATTTTAGATTAATAATAAATTGATGGTTAAAAAAAAAAAAAAAAAACAACTAAGTCGACTATTACTGAGTATATGACGCATCCTACACACACACACACACACACATATATATATATACTATACTAATAAGCTAGATCCCAAAGAGTTAGGCACATAATGGGTAGAAGAAATAGCGGTCAAATTTTTTAATCAAATGAATAGCTCAGATTGGTCAGATTTTATTTTTTTCCTTAAGATTTCCTAATTTATCCTTAATGAATATGATTATCCGTTAACTTTTCCGTTAAATATTATCTTTTCCGGTAATTTCTGTTAGTTCACCGTTAACTTACTCATTGATTTCAATAAGAAAGGTCTTAGGTTCGAACCTCATCCCAATCAAAGTAGGCATAATTAGTACTCTATTTTACTCTTATTTCTATTATTATACTAATAAGAGCCCAAGAGAGTTAGGCCTATAATGGGTAGAAAAAATGGCGGTTGGCTCAGATTGATCAGATTTTATTTTTCTATTATATACTAATAAGAGCCCAAGAGAGTTAGGCCTGGGTAGAAAAAATGGCGGTCAAAATTTTTAATCAAATGAATGACTCAGATTGATCAGATTTTATTTTTCCATAAGATTTCCTAATTTATCCTTAATAAATATGATTATCCGTTAACTTTTCCGTTAAATATTATCTTTTCCGTTAATTTATGTTAGTCCACCATTAACTTACTCATTGATTTCAATAAAAAATGTCTTAGGTTCAAATCACATCCCAATCAAAGTTGGCATAATTAGTACTATATTTTACTCTTATTAAATTAAATAATAATTTAGTAACTGCAACAAAAAATAATACATATGCATTTCATTAATTTAGAATTATGTGTCTACAATATCTTTATTCAAAAAAATTATTAATTATCAATAAATTAAATAAAAGAAATAATTTCATTAGTTATATTGTCGTTATTTTTCTCCAATATAAAAATTCTTTACATTCAAATTCATCAATTGATTATATTCGCTACATTGTCCCTACAATGTCTTTATTAAAAAAAAAAAAGTTATTCATTATCAATAAAGTAATTAAAAGAAATAATTTTATTAGTTATATTGTCTTTATTTTTCTTCAATGTAAAAATTCTTTACATTCAAATCCATTAATTGATTGCATTCACAACATTGCCTATTATCTTTTCTGTGCACTACTTTTTAATTAAATATCAAAGTTATAATACAAAATAATGTTATATATTTACCAAGTATTTTTATTAATACCATGAAATAATTAAAAAATATAATTAATAAAGCCAATCATATTAACTACTTGATGAATTTGTTGACAAAGAGAGTATTCAAATCACACAACAAATTGAAGTGAGAACTATTTCGCAATATCCTTGTTTGACAATCAGCAGTTAACGGTTAGCGTTAGCGGACTATATTAGTGGATTTGACCAGCGAATTATATCAACGGTTGGTAAAAAGATATTTGATAAAATTAATTGTTTAGATTAATATTTAAAATGACCTAAGGTATAATAATAATAATAATAATAATAATAATAATAATAATAATAATAATAATAATAATAATAATAATAATAATAATAATAATAATAATAATAATAATTATTATTATTATTATTATTATTATTATTATTATTATTATTATTATTATTATTATTATTATTATTATTGTTGTTGTTGTTTTAAAAAAATAAAAAAAAAATACTAAGCCAATCATATTAACTACTTGGGGATTTATTGACAAAAGAAATATTCAAATCACACAACAAATTGAAGTGGGAAACTATATCGCAATGTCCTTGTTTGGCAATCAGCAGTTAGCTCTTCAATATTAATATATATTTAATATTTTATGCCCTAATTTTTATTTGCTATCCTTTATGTCCCGTATTCGGTTTCAACCATACCTATACAATTATTTTATTGACAATTATAATCAATCTTGACTATATTATCTTGCATTTGTAAACTTAGAATTACCTATTTAAATACGCAAATTCAACATTCAATTATCTATGCATGAACAATTCCAATATAATCTTGCCTTGATATACTTTAAAGTACTTATTTAAAAAAAAAAAGACATTGAACATTATCTCAATCGTGCAATGTGCGTAAAAACTAGTACACACACACACATACGCACGCACACGCGGGCGCGCGCACGCACACGCACACACACACACACACACACACACACACACACACACACACACACACACACACACACACACACATATATATATATATATATATATATATATCATATGAGAACATCCTTTCACATAAAAACTTAGACAAAACTGGACTCTCCATTTAGATGATGCGTGTGACTTTAATTTTATGATTTTAATTTATGGTAAATTTGGATTTCGTTGTTGATGTATTCTCCTCCTTCGTGTGGAGTTCTTTCTCTATCTTACTTTGAATTTTTCTTTATCCACGTTTCTTTTACTCAACCATGTACTCAAGTTCATTTTGCGTTTTTTTTATTGTTTATCGTTTGAATATAATATAGTCTATATTTGTGATTGACCTCGCCAATAATGTACTAGTGTACACACTGTGACATCCGTAAGTACGCATTTGCACTGTCGTTCCTTGTTATTGGGTTTTCATCGTATGTGCGCACCTCGTCGTTGCCTAGTGCGCACTTTGTGTTCATGTGATGTGTATGTGCATTGTAAACTTGGTGTGTGCGCACTATAATATACATAGGTGTGCACATTTACTTGTAGTGGTGCAGGATGAGTATGTGCACAGTGCAATTTTAGAGTGCGCACAGTGTAATGTATGAGTCTAACGTTTGTGCACACAACTTTGATGACATTATACGATGCATACGATGTTGTCCATGAGTGCACACAATTGCCTAGAACACAGCACAACACCACGTGTTTGTCTCGCTAAATTAAATCACCGGACATTAACAAGATGTACAATAAGATTTTCTTATATTTAATAATAATAACAATTATTTATATTATTTAAATGAAATAATTTAATAATATAAAAACTCCTATTTTATCATTTACTTACCTATTTGGATGGAAGTTTAGAATTCCACTTAGCTTGATTTGCTCCTTAATTGATATTGATGGAGATTGGATGGTTGATTATGCGCATGAATTTAGCATTTAGAGTGTTACTCTTAGTCATAGCTATTAATCACTTATTTTATATGGTTACGATTTGTCCTTAGTTTTTTATATGGAAAGGTGTTCTCATTTGAATGCAATTGTATATATATATATATATATATATATATATATATATATATATATATATATATAGGGAAGGGTTCAGGTGTGGGTATAGCTTCCCGTGCGGTTGTGCGGTTAGATCTGAGCTGTTGATCAAATTTAGATCAACGGCTCAAATCAATGAAAATTATAAAAAAAAAAACGCGTGTCTGGAATAAAGAAGCATAAGCTAAAAATGACGTACCTTAAGTGATAGAAACATGCACCTTAAGTGTTAGATCTTAAGCACAAACTCACGCATATTAAGTACAAAACTCACACACATTAAGCACAACCTCACGCACATTAAGCACAAAACACACGCACTTTAAATATTAACTCACAGACTTTAAGTTTCAACAACTATTGACATTAAGCACAAACTCACGCACATTAAGTACAAAACTCACGCACATTAAGCACAACCTCACGCACATTAAGCACAAAACTCACGCAATTTAATTATTAACTCACAGACTTTAAGTTTTAACAACTACTCAATCAAGCACAACCACACGCACATTAAGCACAAACCTCACGCACCTTACGCACAAACCTCACGCATATTAATCACAGATCCGCTCACCTTAATTTTGACCTAGATGCAAAAATTACAAAATTTCCACCGCGTTTTTTTTTTTTTTTTAAATTTTGGTAATCCTGGACGTTGATTTAAGCGAGATGAATGACCCAGACTAAACCGCACAACCGCACCTGGGCACCTTAACCGCACCAGAACCTAATTCTATATATATATATATATATATATATAGAAGAGCGCTCATATGCGGCGGGGTCTTACGGTGCGGCGGTGCAGTCAAATTCCAGAATACACAAACAGTGTTAACAATATGCACCAACAGTGTAATAAA